GTGAAATTAATAGTTCCCTGAAATTGGTCAGTAAGAGTTCTTAATGTAAGATTTTTGTAGGTTGGATTTATTTGATCAAAATACAGAAAGAAAAACAGTAATATCGTGAATTATTATTACAATTAAAAATTTAATTTTATTTCATTATTTTAAAATGTTTTTTATTCCTCTGATGGCATAGCTAAATTTTCAGCAGCCATTACTCCAGTTTTCAGTGTCACATGATTTTTCAGAAATCATTGTAATATGCTCATATGGTTCTCAAATAACATTTATTATTATTATTGTTATCACAGTTGAAAGCACTTGTGCTGCTTAATATTTTTATGGAACCTGTGATACACTTTTTCAGATTTTTTGATACAGTAAATAGAATGTTTAAAAGAACAGCATTTCTGTCAACACAACCCACAACCCCCGAGGTAATATACATGGTAATATTAATGTGTACACTGCTGCTGCGGCAGAGCAAGTACTGACACTTGCTGCTGCCAATACATCGACAGACATGCTGCTGTGAGCATGTATGAAATACTGCTGCTGCACAAATAACATATATGAAATAACCCCCATATAAAATATACATGAAATCCCCCCGTAGCAAATTTATACAGGTGGAGCTAGGGAAGGTGGAGGTTTTCTGAAGCACGCTGCAAATGCTACAGGAAGCACTGGCGAAGTATTTGAATGCTGAGCAGCAAGCTCATTGGCTGCTGATGTAATTATACTGTATCAGATTGAGTTAGAACCTATCGACCTGTGCCATCTAGAGTTTTACGACAGAACTTTGTATTTATTTGAATAACTTTTTTTGTAATAATGTATCATCTTTACTGTCGCTTGTTTTTGCAAAATTCCACTTACCCCACTCATCTTAGCTCAGATATAATAATGTGCCACTCATGTCTGGGTTATTAGAGGGTGTTTACACAATAGCATTTTCAGCTATATATGGAAAACTTTTTGTGTAATTTGGCCTTCATTTTGGGGGCCTGAAAATGCAAACATTTGAAAACAGTGCAGGTTTTTGAAAACCTTAGAGTAAACTACAAAAACTAATTTTTTTGAAAGCGCTGACGTCATGCACATGCGTATTACATGTTCAGTCTACAGCAATGTGTATTTCTTTAGTGGCATCGCCAACTACTGGCCTAGCTAGCATAATACAGAGGTTTTTTTTTGTTGTTTTAATGGATCCATGTGAACAGGGATTGTTTTGACAACACTGTGTGTGAAACTTTTCAAAAACACAAAGTAAATCCTTTTTTAGTACATAGTTGTCATGTGAATGTACCCTTAGTCTCCAGTGATCTAATGACGTGAGACAGTCAGACTTTGACCTGGCAAAGAAGAAAACTTAGACTTGAATAAAGAGTTATGCGGATAATCACTTGCACTTCTGTTTCTCAAGGACGTAAAACAGTCATGTTAGGGCTTCTCCACCCCTGACCAAAAAGGCGGCAGCAGAGGCCTGTGATTTCCCAGATTCCCCTGCTGGAGCTTCTGACCGGGGCAGGCTGGTTGGTCATTAAGTGGCAGGACAGTGGTGTAATTGAGATGAAGCACACCTGGACTTTAATTGCTCACTCACCTGGTTCAACAGCCCGTCTGTGTAAGTAGCACTGCCTACCCTGTCACTCTCAGCCGCTAGCAGCATAAACAGCTCTGTCATACAGACGTTAGCTGACCTTTTAAAGTATTTATAAAGGTGTAACCAGTCTGCTCTCCTCCCCAGGTAAGTCCTTGTTTGAGTAATGATTATCTGAAGTGCCTGAGTAGCCAGGCCTCTCTCATCCACACAACTGGCCTGAAACCTAGACAGGTTTAGTGAGTCCATTTTCCACTGTTTGACAAACGGCTTGTGAAAAGCATGTAAATTGCTCCCTAATCCCAAACATCTCTTCAAACATGGAAAAGCCAAACAATTTTAACTGTCCAGTGGACTCATATTGCATTTGTGGAAAACTGCATTATGTAAACCGTATGTAAAACAGGTTGAAGTTGAATTAAACTCATGCTGTGCAGCTCTGCAATGGAGTTTTTTTAAATACTAGAATGTGTTCAAATTAATCACTCTTGATTTGCTGCATTAAAAAGTCAGACTAATTAACAAATGATTAGCAAATGATAAAGAATTACATGATGTTGGGCTAATTAGCATAACATTAATTGCTTTGTTTTATAATACCCAGCTGGCTAAATGTTCTTTCTCTCTCTTCTCCATAATTATTCCAGAAAGGAGGTGACTGTGGTTTCTCTCCTCCCCACGGAGGGGTCCTGAAGCCCACGGTTAGCTGCCTTTAAATGAAGTATTCACATGAGGCTGGTACTGCCACAACGTCAATGTCCATCACCAACTGTAAGGCAACCACATACGCAAAGCAGCAGGTTTAGAGCCCAAACCTCTTGTATTCAAAGCAAAATACTACCACTAGATCAATAGGCCATTATTTATATTATAATGCTAATTCATAGATCCACCATCTAGTAACCTGAAAAATCTCTGGACCAACAGATGGAAGGATAATGAGATTAATACCTCCTTTCCCACCACTTTTTAATACAAAATGGCACCAATGACAGCATTTAGCAGATCAGTGGCTCTATACAGAAAATAAAGTATATAAAAATTGTGGATTATCACATTGTGTATACCTACACTGTAGGCCAGTTCAATGTGGATCTGACTAGTTGCTGATAGTAAGAAGGACTTACAAGATATTTTGTCTGAGCAAGTACTGTAAGTAGCAAAACTGCTGACGTAAACTTGAAATTTACCACCAAATCTGACCCAAAAGCTCAAAATATATATCATTGTAGGCTTACCATAGTGGTTTGGGTCGCCGTGATTTTGCCAAGACATGTTCCTGGTCTGTCTCACCCTTCAGCCCCTAGGCCAAACCTAGGGTTGCTAAAGCTGTAAAGGCCCAGGCAGGCTGCATCACTATTAACAGTACCTCAGAGGTCACCGCTTACTGCAGGAAAGGCAGCCCTGCATAAGAAAGCCTAGGACCCTGGAGCCACAGGACAGGGAAATAAATAGTAATTGCAAAACAATGGTTAAAAGGCCCCTTGAAATGAGGGAGTTGCTGTACTTTATTTTACAGCAATGGCCACAGGGCGAGAAAGCTCTGCGCTCAGGTCTCAGTGAGACAAAAAGATGCATCTGACTAATCCAATCTGAATAATGTTTAATTATTAGCGCTCCTGAAGGGGAGAAATGTGTAGGGGAAATGACCTATGAGAATAATGCACAGTCAAACGAGGCATTTAATTAAAAACAGTATGAAGAGCACTGCAGGAAAAGATGACTTCGAATCATCTTTTTATTTTCAGTAATTAGGTGTGCAAATATAAGCCAGTGCACATGGGCATGTGCATAACATCTCGCATTTAAATTAGCAAGTCAAGAAAAAAAAAGAAACACTCCTCTTAACATGTCACCCAGCTTTAGGGCTCTTTTTTGTTCTTTGGGTTAGAACACACACACACACACACACACACACACACGCACGTATGTATGTATGTACACGTATTCCTGATTAATTCAATTAGATGTGAGCTGAAGCTACAAAGAGCACATTGAGGTGACTATGTTGGTCATGCCCTATAAACCTGGTGAGAATGAGAAGGGGAGAGGAGTAGGATCAGAGTCGAAGAGTGGGATAAAGATAGAACAAGGCAAGCCAAAAAAGAAAAACAAAACAAAAAAAAAACACACAGAGGAGAGAGGAATATACCAAGAATGACCTGGGATGAGTGAGGGAGTTGATTATGTTGCAAACAAGGGGTAGCACACAGATTGCTGAGAATGAAGGAATTTAAAACAGGCATCTGCTCCCATGGCAAGAGGAGTCTAAAGGAGGAAGCGAAGTGGGTCAGCTGCTTGGCAGAGCAGGCTGTCTTGTAAGCGTTGAACACTAAATACTCTGAGACCTGGGCAGAGATGTCGCACTGCAGCCCAAGGTGGCATTTTATTTCAGAACTAAATTAAAGGTATAGCTAGTACACCCATAAATGTAAATGCTGTTTTCATTTTCTCTCCCTCATGTCATCCCAAACATGACTTTCTTTTCTTCTGTGGAAGACAAAAGAAGATATTTTGAAGAATGTTGCTGGTTACCAATAGTTTTGGTTCCCATTGACTTCCACTGTATGGACAAAAATACAAGGAAGTCAATGGGAACAGAAGCTGTTTTGTTACCTACATTCTTCAAAATATAAGAAATGCACATAGGTTTGGAATGACATGAGGATGAGTAAATGAGTCTTTCTTATCCCTTTAACCATTTCACAACAGTAGTTTGATGACCACAAAGTGTCCAAATGCTTTTTGTCTTAATTTTACAGTATAAACATTATCTCCCGGTTTCACAGACAAGGCTTAAGCCTAATCCCAGACTAAAATGTAAGTCTGAGCTGTTTCAACTGAAAGAAACTTGCTCTGACTGATCTTAAATATACCAGTGCCTTTATTTTGTCTCAAAATGCACACCAGTAATGTTTTTTCTAAGGCACGTTTATAAAAATTACTTAAAGGTCCTAATTGAACTATGGCCTAATCCTGATTTAGTCTAAGCCCTGTCTGTGAAACCAGGCCATTATCTATTATTTTATCAAATAAAATGTATAAAATTCTAAAATATTTTATAAATTATATTTTAATTAAATTCTTTGTCTAAAAATGATTTGCATGAAAGGTATGCTGTTTTTCTCTAAAATAACTGCCCTTTGATTTCATATTTTGTTATCCAACACAATGACATTTATACATTATTATACTTTATATTTTTTTTTATACTATTTTATTATTTCACAAGTGTGACATTCAGATTTCAATGTTTTTGCCAATCATTTCAGGAAATTGTCAAGAGAGAAGATTTCAGGTCAGGGTTTGTCCTGTAATGGCTATCTGGCTTTAGGTCAGGTTTTAATTAATCACATTATTAAAAAAGTACCACAAAACAAATATTAAACAATACACTCAGCTTTGTACTTGCGCAAAACTATATAACCAAACTTTTTTTTTCTAAAAAACAATTTGCAGAAAACTACAATAGTACAGCAGTACTAATGCAAAGTACGAAATATTAGAATTAGCCAACAATACAACTGAAGAGAAGACACATGATGCTAACAAAACACACAGATGAGAAACAAAGTCAAACAAAACAAACAAAAAACACCCCACAAAATGTACTTGTTGAGCAAAAAAGGAAAGGATTAAACATACAGTACTGGTAGACATAAGTAGACTCTTCTTTGGGAGATGTGCTCATGCCCTCTGCTGGCCAGAAGAGAAACTGTGGCTGTATTTGAATTTAGGCTCTGATTAGATGACCACAAACGGTGTCACCTGTTTTGTTAGTCCATTTTCATTTCTTTTTCTTTCTCTTTTTAGTCTTTCCCTTCTTTTCTTTCTTTTGTGATTTTCCTCCTTTAGTTTTCCCTTTCTTGTGATCCTCCTCCTCACTGGCCTTGGCCGCTCGTGCCCGTTTTTTGCTCAGAGGTGTCCGGCTGTACCATGCCTATCAATACAGAAAATACAAACATAATGTACGCTCATTATATATATATATATACGTGTATATATAGCTGGGTTCAACACATGCACCCGTCCAGAAAGCATCACAAAAAACTGACCTTAAAGGCTTCCTCCTCTTCTTTGTAGACAGGATCTTGTCTTGCAAGAGGGGGGATGAACTCCACCGCCGTGAGGGGTCTCTTGGTCTGCTGGTTGAGGCGGTGAGAGTTCAGGACAGTTTGGATCGCCTGAAGGATGTGACCCTGAGTGTAACCATCTGTTACTTTAGCTAGGGAGCTCAGATCCAGCTTAGGGCCCAGCTGAGCACCACCTGCTTGGAGCAGCTCCTTCCACAGAGCTAAACATTAAAGATACATATGTTTGTCACCTCTTAAAATTCATATAAAGTACATATAATAAAGCAGTTTTTAGTATAGAAATGCAAACTGAACTATATGTCAATAACTTTAAAAGACACAGATGTTTACTTACTAAATCTTGAAGCATAATCTGGTCTAGGGATCAAAACGATCTTCTTGTAAACTTTACAGAAAGGTTTTATGTCTGCATCAAAAGGTCTATGAGTCGTCCCCACCACTAATACACGGTCCTCTGGTTTAATAGATTTCAGGACCTTCGGCAGGTTTTTCTTTAGTCTTTTGGGTTCCATCTAGAAATGAACAGAATGAAGAAAAAACTGAACTGAAGAAAAAAATAGTTATGGAGGGATATTTTTTTTTTAGGCCAAAACCTCGAAATGAGTTAGCATTATAGCACTTCTGGTTTCATTGTCTTAAAGACAAGTTTTTTTTTGAATGGGTATTTGGTTAAATGCCTGAAATAAGGTCTGTGGTTAACACAAACCTAATATGTTTTCATGTAGTGTTCCACAACATAAACATCAGTACCCCCTTGTGATAACTGAAAAAGCGGCTCTAACATGTGGCTAAATATGACTACAGAAGTTGTTGTGGACGTGTAGTTCATTAATAGCCACCATTTAGCTTTTTACTTATGGCGATTGTATTTAGGCTTCAAAATTCATTTTGTTGTGTTCATTTGTGATCATGGAGTTTTGATGGTGACAGAGCTTATTTTCTTTAATAATCCAAAAGCCATTGGAAAAATCCTGTTGGTTTTTTGTTGATTGAATCAGGGTGATGCTAATTTCCAGGTTGGCCTACAAAAATATGTCATCACTGCAGCACTCTATTAATATTACCACAGTGTATCTTCATCTTTAACCACAAGAGGTCAGCAGAGGCCACCTCCTCACACTGACAACGTCTTTAAAAATGAGTTTGCATACCTTGGATGACTGTGAATGAAAGACTAAACAAATGAAGAATTTCACAGCTGATGGTCTGGTATTGAAGTTGTATGCCGGGATGGATTGAAAGTTATGAGTTTATTTAGCAAGTGTTCTAATGACTGTGAATATAAGCTGACATGTTCTCTCCCTGCTGGTAGACAAACCTCTTTCTCCAGCTTTGGAACTTTCTTGTAGAATGTTTTCTCAGCGTCGCCAATCCAAATGACTGAGGGCTGCAGCTGCCGAGCCACCTGCCAAAACACGACAATGTTCTTCCAACGCAGGCCAAACGGTACAACAACACAAACAATCATCAGCTCTCTCACTCACAAACAATCACTTATCGGCCAGAGAAGAAACAACACTGACAACTGTAATCAACACTGCCCCCAAAGCACATGATACCACATTAGTGAAGTGAGTGCATGCTTTAATATCGTTTGACTGAAAACAATGCGTCCTGTTCACTACTGATTAACAAAGTTTTCTGTAACCCCCACATACACCCATAAACTATGTTCCCTCATTTT